TAGCCCAAAACCTCTACAAGACGAACGTGACCTCTATAAGACGAATTTATCATAATCTTAACCTCCATAGTACGTAGTTTACAAAAAAAACAGAAGCTTGTCTCAACATGAAACCCCCACCCATCCCTCCTCCTTCCGCAGTCATTGTTTGGAGAAACCTTGGAGCGAGGAGAAACCTCTATAAGAAGAATAACAGCAGCATTAAACCTCGATAAAACGACCCTCTTTATTAAGAATACCTCTATAGTACGAATGTGTCCCGTACCCCTTGAAATTCGTCTTATAGAGGTTCAACTGTACTCAATGTCGACCGAATCACATATTTCTTTGAAAGCTTCCACCCTTACTGTGTACAGATAGAAAAATGAATACACTTTAACGACAATAACCTCTACATCTACTGGCAAACAATCTGATGCACTTAGTATGGCGTTATGCACTATATGTGCTGCACATCCAATGCCTACAATATCTCTGCCTAAAAAACCTTTTAGTTTGAAATAAACATTTTCTTTCCCCTTTCTAGCTGCACCACCAAAATTTGTATTGGTGTTATCCCCGCTGAATGAAATTACTTTTTGTGTTAATTGATGTTCTTGCAGCACGTCCTTCAAATAATTGACAATAATATCTGATGTTTCTCCGGGGAGGGATTGCAAATCTAAAACCTTTACTTTAATGCCGCTAAATTTATCAAAATAGCGTACTACAACAGGAAACATTTTTTGTGAACCATGATTGGATGAGTCTGTCATTATACAAACATAGTTGCAACTAGTCAGATCCTTTTTAAGCTCAGCCTGAGCTAATGGGGCAATAACTTGTGTAACTATAGCCTGCGTCTTGGTCTTAGCACAGTGGAACTTTGGTTCAAAACAAGTATTTATTACCTTGGATGCGCAGTCGTTGGAGCGGAAGCTGTGGTTCTCACGTACGGTGTGGTAGGCCCAGGCACCCTCAGCCGCTGAGACGTCCAGGTATTTTTTGTTCGGGACGTTGCTTTTGAAAAATGAAGATATAGTTTTGCTCGAGCACGCAGCATGGTCAGAAGCAACATGTTTGTTTGACTTTAAGTGTTTATCAATATCATTAGCTCCTCCATGAGCAACGCTAAACTCAGTACGACACTTCTCACAGACTACATCACTTTTGTTCGTCTCAAACTTAAGTTTAATAAACGGATATTTCGATTGTAATTCACTATTAAATGTGCACTTCCGTTTGGGCATTATCTAATGCAACAGTAATTAAACCGTAGACCTACAATAGTCAAATCACAAACAAACTTGCACCGAATGTAAAGTTAGAGGTTAAGGTACACAAACAACTTGACAGTTTAGTTTACTGACAACATGCGTCTTTTGAGGCCGTAGTAGCCTACAGCGCTTCAACACTCGCGCGGAAATAAATTGTACTAGTGCCGATCGTTGCCCAAACCGGCAACCTCGCCGGTACAGCCATTAATCTGTGCTCTGATTTTGTGTTTCTGTGCTCTGAGTAGGTGGGTTGTATATTGTACAGTCAAGTTCACGCGATCGATGGATAACGATGAAGTGCTAATTGTACAGTTAACCAAATAGGTTAATAGGTTGGTTTCCGTCAGCTTTCCTTAAAATTACTAACTAGTATTCTTACACGAACTAAACATTAGTGTGAAAAGGCGAATTTTCATATTCCATTGAATATTTCAAACGCCTGACCTCCAAAGCGGGACATTTTGGCGTCCCCCGGCCGATTGTGGGGACAGCGGGACAACTTGTTGTAAAGCGGGACTGTCCCGCCGAAAGCGGGACGTATGGCCACGTTAATGATAGCTCACATTCCCGATTAACATATAGGCATATTCTTATTTCAAAAATCCTTTTGGGCTCCGCCCCAGTGGCTCTGGAGTTTCCCATGTTAACCTTATGAGAAATGGAATTATTGAATCTTAACAGCTGTTTCAACTAAACAAGTTGGTTCTGTTCTATGATGTTCAATAGCATTAAAGTTACAAGGATTACCAATAGGGTGCAGCACTATTATTTCTTTTACATTTATGACAACAGCTAATTTGCAACCAAAAGGTGAGTGAGCATAGCGAACAAACAATAGACAATAGACAATAGACAATTAATCTTTATTTACACATTCATTAAGAATAGTAGTAGCGTCAATTTACAATTTTTTCTAAATGTGTGGTTGAGGTGTTGTTTAGTCAAAGACCTGTTGATGGTATTCTTCTAAGGAATAGAAAGGTCGATTAATGAGCCATTGATGCAAAGCTGGTTTGAGGTCATCTTCTGACTTGCTTCTTAGATCTGGAGGTAGCCTGTTGTAGATTTTCATTCCTGCGTATGTAGGTTTCTTTTCAAACTGTGCCGTGCGATGTTGTGGAAGGTTGTACTGCATGGTGTTTTTCAGGTTGTGTTGGTGCATTTCGCCACGCCTTGTAGGGTTATTTCTTACTGCAAATAACACAACTTCCTGGATGTAGAGTGCTACAAGGGTAAGTACTTAGAGTGACCTGAATGCTTCCCTGCAGCTGTCGAGTCTGTGGAGTCCTGCAGTTATTCTGACTGCCTTTTTTTGTTTTCTGAGAACTCTTTGCATGTTAGTGGCAGAGGTTCCACCCCATGCTACAAGTCCATATCTCATATGCGACTCGAAAAGTGCAAAGTATGCTACTTTTGTTGTCATGTCATCTGTTGCATTTTTTATATGTTTAAGAGCATAGATGGTTGAACTTAATTTTTTACATATATTGTCCACATGAGGGGTCCAGGTTAAATTCTTGTCGAGTGTGATGCCCAAAAACTTAGCTTCATCTTCTACTTCTACATCTGGGAGTCGTGGCACTTCTTGAGATTTACGGCCAAAAGCTATTTGAGTTGTTTTAGACGTGTTTACTGCGAGATCATTGTTATAGCAGTATTGGTAGGCCATACTGAGTGACACATAGGATTTTACTTCTAGATTTTCAGCTAGTGGTTCATTAAACACTAAGGTTGTGTCATCAGCATACATAAGAGTAAGGCAGGCGTCTCCTATTTGTTGCGGCAAATCGTTGGTAAAAAGAATAAACAGTACCGGACCCATAACTGACCCTTGGGGAACTCCTCGATTTATTGGTTGAAAATTTGATCTTGTTTTTCTTATTAGGCTGTTATCTCTGTGCCTTAGTTCTACAAACTGACACCTTTCTGTAAGGTAGCTTTGAAACCATTCTCTTACTATCCCTGATACCCCCAGGGAATCCAGCTTTTTAATGATAAGCTGGTGGTCAAGGCAGTCAAATGCCTTACTGAAATCAAGAAAGATTCCTGTTGTTAGATTTCCTTCATCTAGGCTGTCAATCAGGGACTCAACCATCTGAATTATTGCTGTTGTTGTGGATTTCCCTTTTGTAAATCCATGTTGCAGGTTGTTTAGTAGGTTGTGATTTGTGCAGTGGTCTAAAAGTCTTTTTAAAACAACTTTTTCGTATATTTTGGAGAAGGTGGAAACGAGGGAAATTGGTCTGTAGTTGCTTGCTTCTAATGTGCTACCTTTTTTAAATTTCGGGTATACTTTAGTTATTTTAAGTAGTGAAGGAAAGATGCCTTGTTTTAGGGACTTATTTATCAAATCAGCCAATGGTAGTGCTAGTTCATTGCAGCAATGCTTAAGTATTTTTGACGAGATTTCATCAATTCCAGACGAGTTTTTTGCTTTACTTCAACCTGGAGGCGAGTTAGCGTAGCGAACGAGCTAACCTGAAGGCAAGTGAGCGCAGCGAACGAGCTCCAACCTAAAGGTGAGTGAGCGTAGCGAACAAACTTCAACCAGGACGTGATTGAGCCATGCGAACGAGATAATCTTGAAAATTAAGAAGTTAAACGGGGCAAAGCCCGCGGGTTACAGCTAGTATAAGATATATTAACCCTAAAACATTACCAAATTAATTTTAAACAGTATGATTTAAATTGGCATTCTGTTAATTACGTTTTTTTAACCCGCCCTTATGACAGTGTGTATCTGGATCCGGATCCGGAACCAACATTTTCTTGGATCCGCCCATCACTACTATATTACGATAACCTTGTCCAACTAAATCAAAGTTAAATTCAATATTACATTATAAACTATATGTCTTTTGATTTGATGAGATTTTGGTTTCAAACAATGCTATCAGAACATAAAAATGTATAGGAAAACCAGGAAAATTACAACAAAAACTAAGTTTTATTTATAGTTTACTAAAAATTCCGGGATTTATCTTTGTTATATATTTTCTTGTTGTCTTATTATTCTAAATTAGCCTAATTAATAAAATAGTTACAACATTACAGTTAAAATTCAACAACAGGTAATGGAATTGAAAGGCAAACAAAAAAGTCTTACGAAATAAAAATTATTGGCCTAGCACTGAAAGGGTTAAGTGGGTTTTAGCTGTAGTATTTTAATACTGCTTGGATTTTTTTTCTTCGATGTGCTAACTAGATAAAACTGAACATTTCAACTATTCTATACAATATTTATTTGGGTAACTAGTGTGCAAAGTTTGCTGCTCATGAGAGATATGTTTACGCACGAGCCACACGTGAGTGTGGAAAGTTTCTCGAGTGCAGTAAATGCACTTTGCGCTTGCGTTACACATTATATTTTTCCTACAGTTAATATAAAGCATATAAATAATTAGTTTTTCAAACTCTATACTACATGTTTTTAGGTTAGGTTAAATCCGAGCGTTGAACAAAATGGGAAACCCTGCACCAGCTGATCGTAGTATATTTAAGTGTTGCCATCTTATTTTCAAGCGTACACGTATTACGTGCCTAATAAAAGCACACTGTTTTGTGTTGTTTGGTTGGAATACTAGAGTACGACAAAAAAAAATTAAGTGCGGCAAAAGTACGTAAATGCAGCAATTAGCTACTTTGCGTGCTATAATTAGTTCAAGGAGGCCCAGTTTGTCAGGTAACTGTAGGGAAAAATATTTGTCTACAAATTTGAGTATTTACATCAAATAATTATCTTACCTAAGGGTTTCCTTATGTTTCCTTGGTCTTGATTATCTTCTTGGTCTGATCCTTCTGAAAGATTAACAAATATATTAGATCGGTTTTGTATGCTGAAAAGCCAGTCTGCATATATTAAGGCAAAGATAAATGAAGGATGAGTGTTGAATGAATCAAATTAAAGCTTACTTATTATTAAGATGTGCTGTTTTTATTTTGCCAGATTCATCTATTAAAACAACAGATTAATGTGTTTAGTAACACTACTTTTGACAATCTATATATTAATTACGTAAGACAATTTTTTGCGTCAAAATTGTGGGCGACTGAGAAGTCGTAGAACAATGGGAGAGGGCTCAACTTAAAGGTCTCGATCCCGTGACGGCAGGAAAAATAGTGAAATTCCCAAAATGTTAACACAGAATTAGATATAATGTAAAATGTTCTCCAGATAATTTATAAATAAAAATACTTTTTAAGAATGTCACGTTTTTAAACACACTAAAAAGTAGACAATAATTTACAATTATGTTGAGAGAATAAATACTTGTAAGATTTAAAACGAAAAATGTGGAGCGCATGCTAATTTACAATTAACTTCACCTATTGAACTATTATGATCTATTGCATGCGTCCCACGTTTTTCGTTTTAAATCTTACAAGTATTTATTCTCTCAACATATTTGTAAACTAGCTGTGTGCCCGTTCTACGCACGGGGATCTTATCATAGTCAGTTAAAACCTTCTTATATAAAGCACAGCAATTGGTTTGCATACTTTCAGATATGCTGACAAAACTATTCCTTCGCAAATACAGTATCTGACAGTTTCAAGCCAAAACTAATGCTTCGCAATTAAATGTCACCCGGATCTTGTTGGTCCACATGTTATATCCAATGATTAAACTAAATAAACGGTATCAGCATTCTGACACATACTTTCTCCCATAAGTTTGTCAACAACCTTTATCATGTGTAAGCGGTGAGAGTAAATACGGAAATGGGATTTGTACAATTTTGTTCAGAATTTAAAGGACTATAACATAATGGTTAAAAGTATTTAAGGTACTACCTCAACCTCTTAATTTAACACTTTATTCGGGTTGACATTTTCATTATCAAGGCGCTCTTGTCCTTTCCGTGAAACATTGAGAAACAAGGACATCAATGCGTTACCATCATACATACACACAAAAATACCGAACTTAATTAGGGAATCTGCTACGCTTTAAGCATAAAAAGGTACATATAAAATTAGTACTTGAAATCTTTGTTAATGCCATAAAATTTGATCATAACAATTTATATTTGCTTGGACCGGAGATGACTCGAAATTCTGTCGAAATGCTATCTGAATCGGTTTGCTATACCTATGAAATGAAGTACAGTAGGCCTACTATAGACGATTTAGATTGGTAATTTGTAATAAAAATTACCAAAATAGGCCACGAACTATTGATACATAAACAACGTTCAAAGTGTTTGGACAATTCATGATGGTTTGCTGAATAAATGTTTTACTAAAATGCGTTATAGTTTTCTTAGCATAACATTTTGGAATCCAGACAGAAAAAGCAAAAATTATACAGTTAAGATATCAATTAAATTGAATAGGCCTACGCCTGTAATAAATAAGGTGCAACACCAACGATAACTAATTTGTAAATTACTGTGATGTGTTGGTACCTAAAAATGATTCTTGCTGCTACTAAAGGTTAAAAGGAAAAGAACCAGTACCGTACCAAAAACCAACGTTTACAGTTAAGAACTGTAGTACAGCCGACCAATTATATGCGTTAATCCAATCAAGGTTATTGATCTCTTGGTTTTGGATTTTCTCGTAAAAAGTTATCGGCAATCAAAGTTATTTCCCATTAATTGCTTTATTTGTACACAACTCTTAATGTAAACTTATCGGTGTCAGTTTGAAAAAAAACCTTATACAACATAACTTTCTGTTATTTAATAGATTACGTATTCTCTAAACAATGGTTGCTGGTATATATATTAACATTATAAGGAAATGTGACAAAAATCACACAACGTTGGGTTTTTGGACGTTTATAATTTTATTATTTATTATTTCTTAAGTACCTAGGTAGGTCGTGTATTCTATGGAAAAGTACCGGTATCAAGGATCGTTGTCGAAAGGGTTGTTATAAATAATTGGGTAAGCATACGTACCACACGTACCCAAGAGAAGGGCTATGGGCCTATTGGCTGTATGGTCCAGCGATTGCATCACACGGTGAGTAGGAACTATTGACTTTATATAGTCAATGGTAGGAACAGAAAGTGACACATTGGAAAATCGAGTTCAGCATCATCCGTAAACCTCTGTTACAATCACCCACTGCAGTTGTAATTTTTTGCTTTACACTTTACACAACCACCATTGAAGAGCCGTCAATGAGTGGAACATTGTTTCTAAGCTATTGGTGACGGTCATTAGTAAATTTAAGTTTCCCAGCCGTATACAACACTGATTCAATCTTGATTCAATGTCTTCTTTCTGGTTATCAAAACTCCAAAACAATTTTATACACATATTTCTGGTTCCTGACCTGGATGATGCCTAGTTATTTAATTTACGGTTACACTATATTATTCCACTTGCGATTAATTAAATCCTTTATGTAATAAAAACGTTTATAATCTCACTTGGATGGGATTTGCCTTCAAAACGTGATCGGAAATGGTTGTGGTGTTTGTAAACAACATTTGTAAACATTTCAGTGACAGCTAGAAAAAATAATCTTGATCCGAACAGCTGTTCGTTGTTTCATAGATGATTATGTGATACAAATTGGAAGAAAACTTGACAAAAATCACACAAAACTGCATTTTTGAACGGCCGTAATTTTAATTACAAAGTAGTGAGACCATATTTTAATGGCTAAGACACTCTCGCCAATCCAGTGAATACATTAAAATGACTTGGGTCTTGATAGGTACTCTCGTTTTCCTGGAGAAGATTGCGTAAAATGCCATCTTGAGTGTCAGACAGATAGACAGACAGACAGACAGACAGAAATTTAGATGAGACTTGTTTCGGCTTCTTTAATGTATAAAACGTAAAAATAACCTAAAAATGTATGATTCTGAGCAATGTACAGACAAAACTCTAATTTTATTTATATAGATTATTGTCTACTTTTTAGTGCGTTTAAAAACGTGACATTCTTAAAAAGTATTTTTATTTATAAATTATTTTCTACTTTTTAGTCTTTAATGTAGTTAAATCTATTTTATATGGCCTGTTAATACATAACCAAAACCTTATTATCTGTAATCAGATGTTTTATCTTTACTTTGAAATGATTTGTTATATTTCTAGAATATCTCGGAAGCAGAACTTGTACCTCTTAACCTCTGCTCTTCGAACTGTCAAATTTAAGTATTTACATCTGACTTAAATTAATTGATTTATTTACATTCTTTCAAAATGTAAACATGAAAAATTTGGAAGCCCATGGGGCGTAGCCCAAGGGAAATATGAAAATTAAGTTATATAATATTGGATTGTCATCCATTTGTGATCTATGTTTCAAGTTTCAAGTCTCTAGCTCATCGGGAACTTCGTTTAAAATTGATATAAGAATTTGTAGGAAAGCGAGCTAATAGAAACAAGCCCATAGGGCGTAGCCCAAGGGAAATATGAAAATTAAATGATATAATATTGCATTGTCATCCATTTGTGAGCTATGTTTCAAGTTTCAAGTCTCTAGCTCATCGGGAAGTATCAAAATTTGCAAGAAAGTGAGTAAATAAAAACAAGCCCATGGGGCGTAGCCCAAGGGAAATATGAAAATTAAATGATATAATATTGCATTGTCTTCCATTTGTGAGCTATGTTTCAAGTTTAAAGTCTCTAGCTCATCGGGAAGTTAGTATAAAATTGATTGCAAAGTTTGTACCGGACAAGAAAGCGAGCTAATAAAAACGTTTTAAAAAATAGCATTAAAAGCCATTTACTGCTGGTTTTTGTTTACTTCAATACAGCTGATCGTGATTTATCACTAAGCCAACGAATCACAACTAGTGATGTTTGTCTAGTATTTACAAACACTTGAATGATCTGTCGATGTGATTTATTTTAAATATATGAATGTTGTTGAAAATTTGCTGTAATAAGCCTTCATTGCCTTTTTCTTCATTCATTTAGCCTAGATAGCCTAAAATAACTCTATTTTGTAACTTTCTGGCAAATAATTAAGTAGGTTTTCATCTATAATTAAGTAGATTTCATCTATAATTAAGGGTGTCAAGGCTGTTCAATTTGAAATTAGTAGCCTAACGGTTTTTAAAAGCCAAGGGCCTTTGAAACATATCCCCCCAAAAACATATAGTTAGGCGGGTTACACACCGGTATCGCAGACATGTCACTGATATTTCTGATGTCGCGGGCATGATGTCTGAGACAAATAATGAAATACAACCATGGGAAGAGGCACATGCTGGCGACATGAAAGTGAAGGAATCACAACATTCATTAGTTTAAATAATGTCATCCTCAGAAGAAGATGATGTGTTGTTGCTGTTGTTCTTTCTACAAAAACATTAAAGATAACTTCATGGTAATTTTACCAAAATACATTGTAATTAATTGTATTACAATACTTACGTAATTTCCTTATGGTGTCAATTGAAGTATGTATTACAATATAACAACACTACATTTCACACCATAAGGCAATTAAGTAAGTAAAAAAGCGCCAAAACTACTAGAAACGTGTTCTGCGCATGCGCGGGCCCAAGAGGCACGAGACATGTCTGTCCAAACACCGACTTGTTGGTTCGCTCGAGACACGTGCCTGCGACACGAGTCGCAGGCAACATGTCTGCGACACTGGTGTGTATAGCTCCATAAGTTAACATAGGTTGGTTTTTGAGGGGCATGTCGCAGGCACGAAAAATATCTGCGACATCATGTCGGAGATACTGTGTGTGTAACCCGCCTTAATGTTTCATCGGTTGGTTTACCGATCAAATCGATGTCCTGCCAGGGACTCGTTCCCTTAGTGGCTTAGTTGAGGGGTTCTACTGTACAAAGTAACCAGGTGGGACTCACCAGAATTGAGTTCTCGGACGAGAGTAGACATGGCGCAAGTGACAGAGTCCGCGGCCACCAGCAAGTCACTTCTGAGACTGCGGTTACCTCCGTCACTGCCGCCTCCTCCTGCCAGGCAGTTGTTGGACGAACCTAACACAACATAAGCAAGTGTTGATTGCTAGTAGTAATCGAAATATATCGTAGCCTACTCCTGTAATTGCAGAGAAATATCGTGATCAACTCAATGGCAATATATTATGACCTACACCCATACGACAATACTGCAAATAAGTTATCATCTCCCGCAATCACAGCAATATATTATGACCTACTCTCACAAGCATTTTTTTTATGAAATAAAATTTTCTGTCTCGCAAACTCCCAAGTAATTAGGCTATAAAATCTGGCCTCATATTTTAAATTAAGGAATGAAGTGATTGGTTAATAACTTCAGTATTAAAGAAACTCACCCAGTAAAGAAGCTGAGCCGCCGAATGCAGAGCGCACATCATTGGTAAGAGACGGTGGTTCTGCTCCCGACATGACAGAGCCAGGGGTGGGGGGAGCTGACCTGGAGGATGGTGGGGGAGACTTGGTGGAGCGGGGTGATGAGTTGGGGGTGGACCTGGGCGACGCTTGGTGGTTCTGTAAAACAGTAACTGTCATTCTACAAGTCTTAAACATATTGTGTTTAAATACAATCAAAATCACTTATTGTGCATAAAGTGACATAATGTAGGCATATTAAGATTTTAAAATATTTAGATTACAAAAAGTCAAAATTATTTTTTTTACAGTTTGAGTCAATTACAGTAGAGTCCCGCAAACTCGGCGTAATGTGGACTGAAAGGGTGCGGAGTTATCGGGAACTATAAGGTTAAAAATTAAAACAATAAAATTGTTAAGCCTTTTACCTGCCTTCTTTATTTATATTTATAATACAAGTCATTATTAAGTCATCAGATATAGTACACAAATCCTTTTTGCGAGTTGCGAATGATTTGTCTTGAGCTGGCTTGAGTCCATGTTGAACTCGGAATCAAAAAATCACTAATTTTCTGAGCTAGGTGATGGCCGAGTTATCCAGACTGCCGGGTTATCGAGTGCCGAGTTTGCAGGACTCTACTGTACCTGACTCCCAGTTATCCAATTTTCCGTGATATCTGACCCTCCCCGTGGGATATGGAGTACCGTGAAATGTCTGTTTGGTATGACTTTTCAGCGTCCAGTTTAGGTTTGATAAAACTCTACTGTAACTAATGAAACTAATTTTGACCTTGAGCACATTTCATTGCATACTAACCGAGAGTGACATTTACTCTTTCGTCAAATCACAAAGCAGCATTTTCTAAGATGTTACCTACTGGAAATATCTTGTAATTTAGGCTCAATACTTTAGTAAGAAAAATCATAGACTCAAACTCTTCTACCCCCTACATTTCCACCAACAAAGATCTTTGCTAGGCAATTTGTAGTCCAATTACCTTGAGTAGTTTCATGAGTCCCTCTAGCTGCACCATGAGATGTCTGCGAGAGTCCTGCAATGATGTAAGATGAGTCTCCAGCTCATCCTTACGTTGCCTCAGAGCTCGCAGCTCAGACATCAGTGCTGGGTTCTCCTCTAGTCCCACCTTCGGAACAACAGGGCTTACAATTACCATTTAACACTATTCTTGCCATCAAAATGGTTTTAAATTAATCAAGACAGCTTTTTAAGTTAAGGATTTATTCATTCTAAATACTCATACATTAAAAAAAAATAAAAAATAGTCTACTCAAAACACAAACCTTTTTATTTTCATTTTTTATGGTTACAATTTTTTGGTCGTTTATCTATGGATATTAAAGTAATCCCAAAAGCTTGTCTGCAAAGTGTTCCCTACTGGAGATTCACGATGACACAGCGATTGTGGTAGATGATTTATAGGTTGTTTGGTTGCTACAATGGTGTACAATGACTACAATATACACAATTGCATGGAATAGAAATATGATGTTACTGTGAAAGCAGTAAACATCACTACTTTCCCTTGATTACAGGAGATTCTAAAATTGGTATTCAATTTAAAGGCTTGAGATATCAAGAATTCACAGTTTCTTATATATCTCGGAAGTTTTGCAGAATCAAGAATTCATATTGTCCCATCCCTATATACAAGCTTTAACTCCATATTCACGGTTAACTTCACAACTCAATCCAGGTTTTTCCATGGTTAGCAAAATGCACTTATTCAGTTTTCACAGTTGAGTATGTACTATATACAATCACTTTCAACTCTCGCTCACCTCCAGCTCTTGTTGCCTACGCAGTCGTGCAATCTCCCTCATGATCTCTCTGTTCTTGGCCTCCAGCTGTGTAATGAGCTCTCTCTGTGCTCGAGAAGTGTCCAGGCCCAGCGATGCTTCAGAAGCTGTGCGACCCTGCTGTGCAAACAAATGCTTGTCAGACCCTTGGAGCATTTCATTCAAGATTTTAATGTCCAATTGCAATTATTGTACTGCATATAACAAATTTTGTGGAAAACAAAACTATAAATACTGTTATAAATTAATAAACAATAATTATCATGAACAATTATCGAATTATCCTAGTTAGTTCATTATTTCATAGTGAATAAGAGACGCATCCTATCGGTTTGGTAATCTCTTGTCCAGTTATACCAGGAACTGCATGCCAAACGTGCGCAAATTTGGTCACTGCATAAATCAAAATTGAACACAACCACAACCTTGGGGCACAATATTAACCATGTTTTGCATGCAAAATTTTCAACAACCATCTTAAACACCCTCCAACTGTTATGCACTTTTTTCCTTCCAACACTTATTGTTGTTTGCATCCATGAACTAGCAATGGACTTTAACAAGGATTGGCCCCTTAGACTACGGAAATCTAGAAACAGGAGGTAGTTAATTTTTAGTTGGTAGGAGCGACAATTTTTCCTCTCTCCGTAGGAGACATTTGAATTAGCTCAATTGGCCGTGATTAGCACTTGTTGCAGACCTCAGTTTACCCAAAACTCACACATATATAGTTATTCTCATACTTGGAAAACTGGTCAGAGTACAAAAGGTTTAACACTAAAATGTACCACAGAAAACTTACACTATTCCGGGACTCAGCAGCCAGTCTTGCGGCGTATCGAGCAATCAGTTTGTGTTCATCATCCATCCGGGACGAGTCCAGGCTTCCGGTATACTTTCCAGGACTGAGAGAGAATAATTATAACACATTACTGGTTTATAAGTTAAAAACCACCCTCATGCTACTTTATTCAGCATTGCCTCCAGGATTGATTTATGACCAAATAAATAGGTTTATGTACCTTACGTTGTCGATCCTTTTGTAGTCTGGGGCAACTAGTTATGAAACAGTTGTTTCATTATCAAGCCCACTTTGTCACACATAAATTAATTGAACACAATGTCGTGGTCCATATTTACAAATTTAACATTTAACACATACGATGAACACGGATATATTTGATTTTATTCTATGTTTATTAAATAAATCTGTGTTCTTTGTGCGTGTTAAATCGTTAAATGTTAAATATTGACGACGAAATCGCGTTCAATTAATTTATGTGTGACGAAATGGGCTTGATAATGAAACAACTGTTTCAAAACTAGTCGCCCGAGACTACAAAAGGATTCCTGCTTCTATTTATAACTACTGCTAATGATTCAAGTTTGTTGTCAAGTGTGTTCATGATCTCCAACAAGCCATAAAAGTAAAAATGCAAGGAAAATTCAAGATTTTCAAGTCAAACGTTCAAATTTTAAGGTTTAAAACATAAAGTTAAAACAACTCAAACAAACTAGTGAGTAACATTGTTTCTTGTTGATGTAGATTGCAAGTAAAGAATATGGTACAGTTACTTTATTTGATCTAAAGTTAACTATGTTACCTTCTCGCAGTAGATCTGCTATCAAGAGAACCAACATCGTAGGGTGAAGTTCCGTACGCATCTGGGAACCCATTGTGGGATGGAAGAGGAGATGGAGGCCTGAAAAAAAGACAAGGCTATAAAAGGAGGTAGTTTACCAATAAAGAGAATGTTCTTCTCGCCCAAGACACCTATTTTTCTAGGTAAGTACACATAAATGTTAAAGTTGGTACCAAACCACCAAATCACAGTTTTGTTCGCTAAAAGCCATTATTAATCGGCATGATTTTATCCGAGTCAACCGGATATAAGTCCTGCATTCTGACTAGATTAACTGCAACTGAAATAAAATTGTCAAGATTGATTAGAGTAGAATGCTGGCTATTGAAATTACAAAATGCTACAACTGCACAGATAGCTACAGCCTTTCCAAAAAAGGGTCTTTTAAAATTAACCGAATTTTACAAGTCTTCAACGCTTTTATTAATGTTCTGAGCACTTAGTGTCTTGACCAGATTAATGCAAGTTCACTGGCTACAATACTCATGATTACTTGTAAGTGTACAGTACATCGGAGTTATTAGAGTTTTAATATTTGTAACATATTAAACATAGGTTTCAAGAAATGATTTTCATAACCGATTCATGACATTTATTTGCTCAGATTACAACAAGAATTATTACCACTAAATATTTAAAGTTATCAATATTTATTAAACTTACACAATATGGGAAAGGTTGATTGTCTTTTCAGGTTCGTCTGGGAATCGTGGGTGTGATGCTTTGCCTTTTTCAGGAACACATCGGAATGATTTTCGCAGTGAATGACCAATCTGTTTACTTGGGGATTTCTGAAAAATAAATGAATTTAATTGTGTCAGTAGGCCTACCCCTAATAGGAGGAAGAAGCTAGAACACCTGATCTGCTCCCCAATCGGTTGTGTTCGGGACAAAATAGATTTAAATCACTTTGAAGAGCTGCAATTTGAATTTTGTACCTGCCCTACAGAGTCATACTAAAAGTTAGGCATAATTCTCCACAACACGTTAACGAAGGCTGGGATGATATAGCTCCAACTGGGCGTCTGCAGGATTTCCTGAGCGCTTCTAGAGCTCTGAGCCTTCGATTAAATTTAAATAAATTGATCAGTCAAAGCCGTGACAACTTCGCATCGAGCCCTGGATTTATCTCGGCTCCTTCTGAGCACTCCGCGGAAGAAATTTTGAGTGTGGCCAGTTCTAGGCCTAGCCTGACTTGGTGAATACTAGTTTATTCCCCCCTAGAATTTTGCATCACATACTGTACTACCAAAATAGGTTTGCTAGAATTACTCTACAAAACTAAATTAATTACTAAGCACTCAATCTATCAAATCACAGGAAAGCAATACAATCAAACTTACATAAGAAGTGTATTCCTTAACTTCATGCTCAATTGTGTGGGACGAAGACACTCTGCCTCTCCAGAAGCAGTCCTGACACATCTGAAAGCTGTGACATTTCTGACATCTATAGCGAAACCCTGCAAAGTTCTCTCTCTGGCAAGCATCGCACACAGTCGGGTGTACAACTGAAACAATGTTGTGTAAAGAAAAATAAAAGTTCTTTACTTATATTCAAAATATTCTCTTTACTTAATTGATCATTCCATCAACCAAAATCACCTCACACCTTTATGTAATGCAATTTGGCTATTCCATACAGGTGTGAGTGTCATAAAAAGTTGCCCCTGGTAGGGTTTGAAAAGGTGAGATTTAATTTATTTAATCAGACTACTGAGGACCAATCACAGAGCCGGCAGTGGAAGTAAGATGTTGTATTGAGCCCTGGTAATTGTGTATCCCAGAAGTCCGATTTATGGACCGTGAAAGGTCTGATATGTCCTCCTGAAAGTACCTTCAATGATCTTAAATATAACTCACTTCTTAAGATGTAATAAAAAGTATTCCAAACACTCTGAATGCAAAATACACTCTTTGATGAAATTCTGTTAAAACATGGCTATGACCAGGCCCGTTTTTGACCTTGTCAGCGCCCTAGGCACAACTAATAATAGCGCCCCTTTCAATTTATATAACAGGGTGTCCACCGACCGAGAAATTCGGGAATCATGCGGGAGTTTTTGAACCGGGAATTATGTGTGAATTTTGTATTTCTAAGTAGAGTTTTCAATTTACCGTGATCGCGCATGACATTGACAACAGTGACGTTTACGTGACCGCGGTAGACGATAATATGTCTACACACGGCCGCAATGGATGATCAGAATTTTTCACGATCGCAGAACACGATGATGATATCTACGGAGCCGCGAGGGATGATCAGAATATTGCCACGATTACGGAATACAATGATAATGCCCACACGACCGCAGGAAACAGCAAGAATTTTGCCGCGATTGCGGAAGACGAAGACGATCTCTACGCTACTGCGGGACATGATCAACATTTTGGAGCAAACGCGGGAGTCGATTACCATGTATTCATGACCGCGGGACACGATTGTGATGTCTACATAGGACCGCGGGAGATACAATAATGATTTCTACACGACCGCAAGGGATGATCACAATTATGCCGCGATCGCTCATAGATGGTAATGTCCACATGACCGCGGGAAAAGATCAGAATTTTGTCTGATTCGCGGAAGACGATTAACTCCATATGTCCGCGGGAGATGATTACCATTTTGCCGCTATTGCGGTAGGCGATTATTACTCTCGCAAGATAGAACTCTCCTTTATATTCTATGCCCAAACGACAGCGGGGGATATAATTATGTATTCACGGCTGCGAGGGGTGATTATCACAATAGCGCAAGACGATCATAATGGCCACACGATCGCGGGAAAAGTAGATTTTTGCCTCATTCGCGGTAGAGGATGTTAATCTCCTCACGACCGCGGGATATGTTCATATATTATGGCCTCGATCGTGGAAGACGATAATTATGTCTAAACGACCCAACCGCGGAAAATAGTAAGAATCTTGCCACAAACGCGGGAGACGATTACGATGTCTACACGGCCGCGAGATGTTATCGGAAGTTTACCGCGATCGCATGCAAATATAACCTAATTTTTTTTATTTTCCAAATTTTTGGCGCCCCCCAAAAAAACCAATTGCCTCGCGCCCTAGGCACGTGCCTACCGTGCCTATTCGGTAAATCGGCCCTGGCTATGACTCTGTATTATTGAAATGATAATGCCAAACACTGATTGAACTAATATGTAATAAATTATGTATTGACTGACTTATTTAATGATATTGTATTTTATTGCAATTGTTCGGTTAAGCCGATTACCTTGACAAGATTAACACAGGAGAATTAATAAAATTGTTGAGAGAATAAGCTTAGTGTATTGTCACTTTAAATATTTACAAATATTACAAATAATCAATAAAAATATCCAAGTTTCTGCTATAATTACACTTCAAATGGATAGGGGAGAGTATTGATTGTGGTTTCTGACTTTCTTTCCTGAGATACTGACAGCAGAGCCTCGGGAACCTAGGTTTGATTTATTTAATCTGTTTTTTTTTTAGGCTATCAGGCTTCCCAAATTTGTGTATTTATTAACAACTGGCCAGTTGATCTTAATATGCAAAGGGGCTATTCGTAGTCCTGTGTACAGCACACTTTGTTGCTCAGTGGCAAACTGGGCCAAATCGACTACTGAGTCGATTGTTTAATTTTGGTTAATAAAATTACTTTTATGGCGTTAATGGAAGCCTACCCTTATAGCCTGTACTGAAACCTACCCTTCAACCGGGACAATGCTCTGATTGAAACCTGAATTTGTACAAAATCAAATACTCTCAGAGATCTCTTTATGTATTTTAGAAGTGATTTAAAACCCAAATATTTAAGCAAGAACAAATTGTAACAGTTTTACGTGACAGACAGCTGATATCCTAACGATATAAATTGAAGTTAAGTACAAAATTACAATATGAAATTTACTGGTATAAAATTTACCCAAATTATTAATATAATAATACCTACAAATGTATCACAGTATGTATTTTAAAATAAGTAAATGGCAATAACTTTAAAGCAATGTGACTGGATTACACACTAGGACATGAAACCTGCAAGAAACATGATCAAACAAATATGAATGTGGACAGATTGGCTTCTTCTAATGATATAAATACAATTTACACAAAACATTTACTTACATACACAGAAGACAATTTTGACGACACATAAACATATAATTACGACACTGTACTTGGGGTAGGCTCTACGAAAATGGTCAAATTTGACGAATTTTACCGGTCGACGTCGAACTTAAAGACTCGATTTATTTATTCAATTCGTAATTTAGCAAACGCTGTTTCACGGTTTAAATACCAATGCACTCCGGAAATCGAACAATTGATTTCGTTGACGAAATACACGTTACGACTACCAAAAGTGAGTTTTGCGAATTGAAAAGGAGAATTTAAAGATTTCCGAACATCACGGCTCAGAGCCTAATCCCAAGTGAACCGTTAGAAAGACGTCCACACAAGTCAGCAAGTTGATATCACTCCGCGCTCACGTGATTGGCCGTTATCGGTACAGTTGGTAATTTTTACCTGACAAAATCTATGTAGGCTACTAGCGGAATACCTGTGCTTCGCTACGGAAACTTTCAAACTGGTTGGCATTTTTAATAAATTTGTGGTTAAGTGCAAGATAAAATAAATCACATGAAATAGGAAAAACAAAAAATGATTTTAATTTTTATATTTCATTTTACAATAATGATTGGAACTACAGTCAAAAGTTTGTTTGTTATTCATACTATTTTTTATTATTTACAGAATTTCTTTGTATATGACATTTTTTGTTTTCCCAGAAGGTGCTAGCATAACCAGACTAGTGGCTGAGCTGACCCGCAAACATGCAAAATAAAATTGCCCATGAGAAAAACAATCCTCTCTTAAGTCTAGTCCTGCGATCATAAGTCATGGTATAAAAACTGATTTCCCTCAGTCACATCCAGTAATCACTATGGCCTCAACTACATTATCAAAAAGAGATTTGATTCGGCTGACAATTGGGAAAAATGGGCTCTTTTTGTGGCTCTAAAACGTCAAAGTGCACGCTAGACGGGAATTGTGTAAATCTGAGTCTTTTCACGGGATTACGTTGACATATAATTCACCATTCCGATAAACCTCGAAAACAAATGTGAATAGTTCTGAAGCCGCAACCAGCTCACACAACCCACCAAGACCAAAGGTTAACGGCATAGACATTTCATAGAAGTATTCCCTAGAATTAAGGTAATTATTCCCGTCACTGTCGCGGGATAAGATTGAGACGTAGTCCCAGTTCCTCACAACATGTTCAACAATTGCTTCGCGCACAGTTAGTGTGTGTATGTCTGTAAGGTGAATTATTAATGAGAGTAAAGTAAATAAACATGCACCATCTCCTCTGATGTGAATGATATTGTGTTGAACGAACTCGCCATTAACATTTAAAACCTTAGTGCCCATACAATGTAATGGTTTAAACAACTACAAAAATACTAACAGAACTATATCATAAGTTCTTACAAATTTAAATGCAATAAAAAATCAGTTCAATTCTACCTTCTTCAACACTAATCACACATAATAGAAAAAAACTACAGATAAAACTAAAATTCCACAATAAATTAGGTTAATTTCACTGACACACAACTATGATGTTTATATGCTCCGAAATAACCTCAGTAAACTTAATTTTTTTATTCTAACAGCTGATGATTAAATAAATTGCAGACAAATGTAAACAAAAACCCAAAACAAATTATTCTTGCTATACGAACTCCATGCTAACTTTCACCTTCTGTGGGGCTGGGCCCATTGGGAATTTTGTAAAAATCGCTTCTTATTGTCTGCCTACGCTATGAGAGGAATATGTATGCAAAATCTCATGCTTCTAAGGGCTATGGTTTTGCCTGTGCGTTGATCGGAGTTTCACATTTATATATAGAGATTGAATTTATATTAGTTTTTGTATCCGTGTTTTATGTGGTTGTAAATGGCTGATATATCTCCACAATCCCAGGGACAAAGTAATCTTGTATTGTTATGTGTTTCAAAATTAACCACAAGTTCAAAACCGATGGTTGTATAACCAAATTCTAGCTCACCTGACATTATTTCCAGGTATTGCAATTTTTCAATCAAACAAACATTGTTTATGGAAATTAGGAAAAACTACAGTTTATTTTTATTTGAAAGGGGAGTTTGTAAAAGTTTTGGCAGTTGTTCGTTGCTGACTGCTGTGTGTGTGGGGTTAAAATCAAAAATGTTTTTTAAAAAGTAATGAGCTTCAATAAACATTACTTACCACTCTCAACGCTGGTCAGCCGATGCAGTAGAGGGAACCAAACCAAACAATGTGGTCCTGGGTCAGACATCATGGTGTCCATGAAGTCGTTCACAGTCACTTTGCCATTCTGTACAAAGAAAATAATAAAAATAACCTCTCACGAATAGATACAATGAAGTGACTACAGTAATTGAACTGATAAAATTTATAAAGTGCAATTTCTCTTTGTTTCAAATGTCAACAAACACGAAAGCAGTCCAGAATGTAACAGACATCTTGGCTGACCACAGCAGTAGGCGGGACCAAACCAATGTTATAGTGAGGATTAATGTGATTGGTGGTTGGGGAGGGGGGGACTTTGACTGATGCATTAATGATGAAAATCATAAAATATATTCCCTGTTACATTTGTAAAAATCGTCGACTCACAATTACAGAACTCTAATCATTTACCCAAATTTTAAAACTTCAATTATAAAAACGTAGGCCTAATGGGAAACTTACCCCAGAGAATATATCAGTTGCAAGGTTATCATTGAAGCTAAAGCTGGGAGATTCATACACAGCAGCTGGGAGACAAAGAACTTCTCTTAGGTACTCAGAGAACTTCCAGGCCACCATGTGTCCATTGCCATCACAAATCTGGGAGAAAATGTCTGAAAAATAAACCAGTAAGTAAAATATGGTATAAATTTAAATATGAATGTTATGGGTATACAAAGGAGCTTTTAAAGCACAAGAGTAATTTTTAAGTATAACTTCTACTCTCTGTGATTGGATAGCCTACACCCAAGGCTATCCGAATGTGCGGCTAATCCAAACCACCAGTTGGGGAGAAACAAAAGTTTGTGAATTGTACATACATTTTGAACGGAACCGACAAATTTGGAATAATTAGAAATAGGCCTAGCATTCATGGATTCATTGACAGAATTCTTGGTAAGAAGAACAAGATCAGGGAAGATAAACATGGTGTTTTAGCGAATTTCCCTATAGGGAAGTAGCTATTACCGTAGGTCTCATGGTAAGACTTAAGCCCGGGACCGATTTCCTTTTTCATTTTGACGTCCCCAGAGGCCAAAAACACCATCCGTTCAAATTTTTATATATGTGTCCGTGAACTTGATAACTTGAGTAATTTTTTTTCAGATTTTGATGAAATTTGGTTTGAAGGTGTAAGGCAGGATAAACTTGAATGAGTTTGCAAACCAGCTTGATCGGACCATGGGAACAGGGTTTTATGGGGGGTTTTAAGGGGTAAAAATAGGTTTTTCTAATTTTTGACCCTCAAAACATAAAATTTCCCAATTTCTCTCTAGACCTTCTTAACACGTTGGGTGCTGATGACGGGAATTCCCGCAATTGCTTAACATTGAAATAAATGCAACTTTTATGTTCAAACATGTCGACAGCACAAATAGTGTTAAAGAGCTTAAAAACAAATAATTCAGTACATTAATATGTTTTTGTACGGTTATTGGTTACGGAGAAAGCTCAAGAAATTGTAAATTTAAAATTCCCATGTTATTCTTATGGAGAATATTGTAAAATGTTGGAGTTTGCTTGTTTATGTTCGAATATATTCTGATCAAACTTGGAAATTTATTGATTTTATACTAAGCTAAAATTATTTTACTTAAAAACACACTTTATTAGATTCCTTGTAGCAGCAAACCTAGGTACCTGGCTAAACCTAATGTTATTTAAATAGATTAATTGAAAATCATTTCAGGCAAATGGAAATTGGCTTAGACGGCAGGTTTGCTGCGTCGGGGGTATTTAGGATTTATTGTGGAAATAATATAATGGCCATTTACAGCTATAGGGTAAAATACATTTTTTAATACTTTACCTATGCAATTCTAATGGATTTCCGGTTGATAAAAAAATGTAGTAAATCTGAATAGGGTCTGGTTCCAATTAGTTGGAGTTAGCAGGACTTTTGTGTATTTTAGTGTGATTTGTACTTACATCTTAGCTTATCCATCAACTTCCCCGCACACATGGTAGCCAACGCCACTTTAATAGAGAATACTCTAATTCTTCCGAGAGTTTCACTGAAACATAATGCACATTATTATATGTTTTATATTTGGTTTTCAATCTTATGTAGTTAGTTACAAAATATTCAACTGTATTCTTAATAAATATTTGTATCAAAAACTCACTAAAGTTGTGGAGCCTTGTTATTGGGTGTATTAGTTAATTATATTTTTTGTATTAATCGTCTAAGTACTAAATTTTAGTTTGAACAGAAATGCAAAAACTTTATTAATCTCCTAAAATGTTTAGGCTAAATTCATTTTTGGCAACTTGTACAACCTGTATATTTTCATTTTTACCAACTTTTCCAGACAATGATCTATTATTTCCAGCTAAAACAGCCTAGTGTTTTTTGTTCACGCATCTATTTTGTGTACACCAGCTTTTTAGCATCTTATAATTATTCTTGACTTTGTTGATAACCAGGCGTACAATATTTCTTATGCCACTAAATGACAAGAGGTAACCTAAGTTAAATAACCAGTGCTGTGTTTTTGGATACAAATTCCACTGAAGTTGAAAAACTAAAAATAAAATACTGACAACAAAACAACTTACATGGCATATGCAGAGAGTAGCCAGTTTAACAACAGACTAGTGAGAGATTCCACATGGACTTGTTGTGCTAACGGAAGACGCTTGTTCAGATTGTGGTACAGACTAGAAATTAGCATTTCAAGTCTCGAAACATTAACTTCAGTTTGAGGCTCCAATGTGTTGAGACCATTTTCTCTGAATGCTTCGATAACGTTCCAAATATCAACTGAATGCACTGAAAAAGTAATTTTAAACTACATTTGGCACACATTTTTTCTGTTAAAATTCTTATAAATTTGTTTTATTTCAGATAAAAATGTATAAGTTTATAAATATAGGGCCTGTTACATTTATAAATTAAACTTAATTATATGTGCTATTAAATTAATCTTTCATCACATGAAATGTGACTGTTGAAGTCTTAGGTTGCTGTAAAAACATTTAATTTTTTGGGGTGCTTTCAAGAAAGTTATGTCACTGGAGTTTTTAATGGTTTTTTATGACTAAAAGAAGGAATATGGCCTAGGATAGGTACTAAATTTTCTTAGCTAGACTACATTTAAAAAAAGCTTCTCGAGGTAAGATAAATCAACAATTTGGTTCATTATATAACCTTAACTTTAGCTTCCAAATCTAAACTAACTTTGAAACACTACATTCTGCCACAAATCAATCCTCATTAAGCCTGACCTACCTTCCTAACAAGCCTTAATAGGAACTGATTGGTTAACAAAAATCAATGCTCGGTGGCACTTGTAAATTTCCTATTAGGCCTAGGCCTAGTTGTTTCCTATTAGAAACAAAACTTAGTTATTTTAGCTTCAATTTGACGTAGCCTATAAAATGTTTAGCTAGCTTGAATAGCACCCAAACAATTATCATTTAAAATCCTGGCACTCTTTTAACAACACCTTGTATTACTATCTAGGTTCTCGTGGTCACCTCACACCTTAACTTATAATGCATCTAGGCTAACTTAACTTCCGAATTTGTACAGCCTAATTCTTTTTATAAAACTCTGCATCAGCGTAAAATCACGTGGCATTTACAGGTTTTCAACACGACTTGAAGAGGGCTTGGCCTATTGCCTGTTGCTTCATGAGGAAGTATAGGCCTAAACTAACTTAAGCTTGGGAGACAGAGAAGTAAGATACCTAGAGGAAATATTCAATGGTACCAGTACACTAAGTCGTGTCTAGCACCAGTCACTTGTGTCTAGTGCAAACTCTATTAAGTTAGTCGTCCCCTATCGCCTCTCCTCTCCCCCCTCATCATCACGAACTACAGCGCTCATGCTGTAGGAAAAGCCTGTGTGGGCCTATTACATTTTAACTGCTATAGCTTAGTAAACAATATTTAGCCGTTCAGGCTCTTCCTTACTCGGTACTAGGCCTAGTATATTTCCACCATTCTAGAGCTAAAAATGCACAGTTGTTCCATAAGCATGTTTTTTTTCTATAGGCCTATCTTAACTTTATCTCTGTGGCTCAAGTGAAATTTGTTGTCCAACTCTGTTTATTCAAATTGGATACTGGTAACTGAATGGCTGACATATGCCTACAACATTGGCAGTATTAAGTTTAACTACAGTGCTGACAATTTAGGAGACAAACAAAACTGGCTAACAACCAGGTTACTAGTACCTGGAAAACTAAAAGTTTAAGAAGTGCTGTATAATAGGCCTAACTTAAGGCATAACGTTTTCTTAGGCACAACACAGCAATTGCCAAAACTAAAACCACCATTTCTTATTACAGTATGTTAGTCTTACCATTTGCTTGTTTTAATCAATTAGGCTACAAAACCCTGCGCTAAATGTAAATGTGTCTTGTCTGTTGGTGTTGAGAAGGAATAGCCTAAACTTAGGCCTCCTGGGCTAGAGTGAGAAGATAAACTAGGCTAACTTATCTATGAGATGTTTACTTACAGTGAAACTTCTTTTGGATGAATCTTAATTTACACGCAGTTCGGTAAGAAGCAAATCTTATCATATCAAAATTTTGGCACCTCATTTCTTGAAGTAATTGTAACCTTTGCTCTGCAGCTCTGGTACTGCTTCCACTTTCATCACCCATCCTTGGTGGATATTATTCACTACAATGAGGTTCTGCAATGACAATGACAGGGTAACTGTTCAAAACAACAAATTTATTCCTTGTCAGCGATATCACAACACACGAACACACCCAAAATTCAAAGCTAAGCGGTCGTTAGCAATGCCATAGAATGTTGAGATAAGTACCAGCAGTAACAGTAACACCTGTCAGATGTCAGATCAATACACTCACTCCAAAACCAAACTCCAGAACTCCTTCTGTCTGACGTCTGACCTCAAGTTTCTGTTCTCTCCTCCTTCTGCAACTCCATTTCAAAGACTAGTAATCAGACGAGTTTAGTTTGTTGCTCCAAAAAACCACAGCCACCCTTAACCATAGATTAAACATACTCCTTATGGTATTCTGGGTATTCTTAATCTATGCTTTTACTTTTACAACTCCAAAAGCTCAATGAGATAGGTCTTTGGGGGGTAGCAGATTTTTATCCCCCTGGAATTTTACCCCCTGGGCAAACGTGACGTCACAAACCAGGGGGTAATATTCCAGCCGCGAAATTTTGACTTTCGCGACATCAGTTCGATAGATTGAACGCGGAATTAAACGTATATTTTCACGGTTATGAATTGAATCAGAACACATCAAATTATTAAAACCTAGAGTGTACGGGCCGGAATTTTACCGCTGGACTTTTACCCCCTTCATGAGGTCAGCTCAAAATGTACGGGCCGGATTTTTACCCCCTGGCCAGATATAAATTAGTGAGAATGGTTAATTCTCTTCATTCAGTTTTAATGTAATAGTAAACATTTTATTTTTAAGTAGCCTATCTTAATTTATTTGTAACATCAACTAATCGAACATGTTTTTAATTTTAATTTTGAGATTAGAATATTAGGATTCGATCATTGAAGCCAACTGTTGGTTAATATGATCAAAATTAAACAGCGAATGTTGTTTACTTAGATGAGATTATAAAATAAATAAAAAAATGTAGGCTACTTAATAATAAAATGTTTACAATTAAATAAAAATAAAAATAAGAAAATCAATCATTCTAAAATCAATCATTCTTAATAATTTTTATATCCTGCCAGGGCGTAAAATTCCGGGGGGTAAAAATCCAGGGGTAAAATTCCGGGGGTAAAAATCCGAGGGGTTAAATTCCGTGGCTAAAAATCCGGCCCGTACATCTTCAGTTGTCTAAACGCTAGTTATATGGACAGGAGGTAAAATTCCGGTTTTTATTGCTAATCTAATTAATCACGCTCTGTCTATTTTCATTAGACTTCCAAATCAGCGAGGGTAAAATTCCGCCCGCGAACAAACTTTTGAGCGCTCCAGGCTACTACGTCATAGGGACGTCAGACTCAGCTTTGCCCAGGGGGCAAGTGGTAAAAATCCAGAGTGGTAAAATTCCGGTGACCCGTCTTTGGAGTTTGGATCACTAGCACGAACACCTTTAACTCCAGGCAACGGCCTTCGAAATGGCAACGTCGCAAGTAGGGTTCAAATCAAATCAAATCGTTTAGAGTATTGCAAAAACAAAATACATTAGCACCGTCAAAAAATGTACACAGAATATCTGTGTATGGTAATATGTTGTAACAGCTGTGTTGTTTTGGAGGCAGCTAATGGTATCTGTGTATTTTAAAACTGTAATTTGAAAGCTTGGTTAAATTAAAAATACGCGAATTGATGAGCTAGGTGACAGGTGGCACCTGTCTCCCATGTTATCTTATGGGACGTCTTGCGCTATACGCTACGCGCTACTTGCAAACGTTGCCAATTCTACCAGGCAGTGGCCTGAAGTTAAAGAGGTGGCAGTAATCACTAGCACAGAGCAAATGGTGCAAATACTCAGAGTTGAAAATTCTTGAAAAAATTCTTAAAAAACAGTTAACGAAACATACTTCGAAAAAAGAGTGCGAGTATCACATGCAGTGCACTATTGATATAGCAACAATGGGTGGGACAAACCGGGACAAACGTGCGGCACAACTGGATTGTGTGGCTGCTCTCATTTAACTAATTGCGTGTGTTTTGTCAGTCGTCCCGTCGTACGGTTGTCCCGCCGAGCCGCAGCAGCATGCGGTGGATCCCGTCGACGAACCGCAACCGCAACAATGTGACCACGCCCATTATAAAACCCATGTGTTTAAATCATCCCGCCGGGTCTCAATTGACCAGACCGGCGAAATGGGATATAGTGACACGGGCCTAAGCTACACATTCTGAAAAAAAACCAGTTCTATGAATAAATAATTTATACTAATGTTCTCAATGCCACAAATACAATTTTAAAATTTTAAAATCGATATGCTGAAATTAGCGTTTTTTACCCTATTTTGTTCGTTACATTATTGTTGAAGGCAAATGAAAACAAAATAATGTCACAAAAAATTGGTTTATATTAATTCATTATACTACACAAAGTTGTTAGTTTATACATATTGCAAGAAATTGGTCTGTTTATTACTAATGTAGGAATTTTTATTATATTGAAGAAATAACTCAGAAACTAATGAAAAATTGATAACATGTGTCAAAAAATGTCATAAAAAATCTGTCTATCTTACTCATCTTTTCTCGTACTAATAACATTTTTCTTGGATCTCAATTTTTTATACCTTATCCTGGCTTCTAGGGCTGGGTACGCCCATGGACTTTATCGCATAATACAAATGGGGCCAACGTATCGCAATCATTCTCTTATTCATTTAGTGCTACCTCCCGTCGTATCTCTAGCTCAATTTAAAGAGATGTAGCTGATGTGTGTTTAATATAATAGTTTTATTTTCCTAGCACTTTGTTATCAAACTAACACTATCAGTGTGAAAGTATGCAAATTTTGCATACTATTTGTAGTTTCTGTATACTTCTTGTAAAACAAACGAGGTATTAATTAAATCTAGATTTACATAATGGGAATGGTGACCACCATAGTATTAACGAAGATAAAACATACTCCCTTGTGGTGTAATAGCTATTTACATTACAAGTGTAGTAAGAGCGTTTTTACATCACGCAGGTGAATGTTGTGCAACGAGCGAAGGCGAGTTGCATAATTCACCGAAGTGATGTAAACACGCTCTTGCGTAACGTGTAACGTACAAGATTTTACCTGACCCGACAATATTCAGGAGGTTACGAGCAATATGCTTCATTATCAATTTCACTCATCTTCTAACATAAACGTTCATTTACAAACAAAAGCTAGGTTAGGAAAATTCTTCAAAGCATAACAATAAAATCCAAACACACAGCTGATTTCTAGCGTTGAACGTCGATGGCTCCATAGAGGTATATTTTTTAAGTTATCCACTCAATGTTATTTAAATGGGTTTCTTTACATCACCGAGTGAGTTTTTTTTTTCAACTTTACATCACTCGAGAAGTAAGGAAGTTGTATACATCACGCTTGGGATAGGGAAGTTTAACATGGCGGGTTAGGTAAAACATTTTTTATCTACGCAATGTACTAGCGGCTAGTATGCAAAGTGGGAATTACATTGGTCCTATATCAATTGAATTAATATCTGGGGGAGATTCTGTGAACCACATTCGTGGTATGAACTGATGGTTGATTTTAGTGTTGTTTAAAGCAGTTAATTTTCTATTGGCGTATAATATAAATTGAGTAAAGACATCTGACATAGATGTGCATAAATTCAATATACTAATTTCTATAAACGTTCCCTAAACTGCATATAGTACCTATCAAAATGTCTGTTCTATCAAGTTGTCCAGCTCCATTAGCTTGTCTTGTTCACATATGTTTTGTGTTCGTCGTAATGTCGTCCGCCACCATCGGATCGGACAATCGTCGTAAGTTTGTGATCGTCGTCTGCGGTTGTCGGTTTTGACAGTTCGGGCTTCAAGTTCATTTCTTCTGTTGAATGTTGGCTAATTTTACCTTTTAAATTATATTTTATTCTAAAACATTTTAGGTATACTTATATTTAACATCCATGTTACTGATTTCTAAAAAGTGTTTATATTTCTCCACCCTCAAGAACGCTCGGTAGAAGCGGACATGACATTCGAAGATCCATTTTTTGTTGTCAAAGAGTGAGTAGTGTAGTTCTATTGTCATTCAGTTAGCATAGTTATTTTGTATTAATTATTCATTTTATTTACTTTTTAAATAAATTCATGGCCTTATTTTATGTTTTTACAACTTGTCTAAAGGAATATTTCTAACATTAATTAAATTATAAATAACTTGTAATCTGATGTTTCTTTATGTTACTCTACCATATTTTGTGTAGCCTAGTTAAAATAGATTTACTTCAAAATCCTTGTTTATTTTGGATCTATTATGTATCAGGTAATGTAATAAATGCCATCCATCCATTTGAGGTAGGCCTACACAGTATGCTTTATACTTTATAAGTTACTTTCTTATTAAATGGGACCATACAAAGTAGGCCTAGGTATTTTAAGCCAAATATGAATGGAGATGAGTGTAGGATGAGTGGTGTGATCTTGTAGTCTTGTTAGTGCACATGTAGTCTTGTTGTTATTACATGCATTTGGAATCATCAGTTGGTATATACGAATTGGTGTAATTATCAGGACAGTGTACTGTGGATAGTCGTAGTAACTTACTCACCCGTGTGTACGTTAATCCACACCAGGGAGTATCGCATCCACAGTGCATGCCTAGCACATACCTTACTTGGTGTTTTGTAAAATAGCCTATTTATTCTAACGAGTTTGTGAACCAGTGTTATCGGATCATAGTAGGCCTAATTGGGTTTTATGGAGGGAATTTGGGTAAATATATTGGGTTTTCTTATTTTTTACCCTCAAAACATAAAATGTCCTAATTTCTCTCTCACCCATTTTGAAGAGCTTGAAAACAAATAATTTAGTAGCTTAATAGGCTAATAAGTTAAGTAATTTCTAAGTAAGTTTAAAACTTAAGTAAGTTTTAAGTAATTTGTTATGATTTTCTGTCCACTCAGATTATGATCTGATGCCCAAAGATGAAGATTGTTTACTCAACCTGAAAAAAATGAAAAATATATGGTCCCGACCTAAGACCCATAATAATATTACCTATTTAAAAATATAATAGACTTATTATATTATTAGCTAGTTTCCTAAGTCTTTTCGCCGATCAGATCGTTGAAAAAAAAAGGCCAATTCATGGAGGTGAAGCAATACCTCGTTTCTACCCTTAAGTTCCAACCTTCCAAAGAATCAGAATATAACACTGAATATATTCACTGGTGAGAGCCGCCGGGGGCCTCGTTGATCCTAAATACGGCCCTGCTGTGCCCAGGACCGATTTACTATTTTGTTTTGAGGTACCCAAAAGGTCAAAATCACCATCCGTTAAAATTCATATTAGTGAATATCCCTATAGGGAAGTAGCTATTACCGTAGGTTTCATGGTAGGCCTACACCTAGGCCTGGTACCAATTTACTTTTTCATTTTGATGTCCCCAGAGGCCAAAAACACCACTCATTTGAATTTTTATATATATATATATAAAATGTGTGTCCGTGAACTTGATTACTTGAGTTATTTTTGACCCTCTAAACACAAAATTTCCCAATTTATCTCTAGACCTTTTTAAAGAGCTTAAAAAACCAAATTATTTAGTATATCAAAGTGTTTTTGTACAATTATTGGTTATGGAGAAAACTCAAAAAATTTTTATTTTAAAGTTCCCATGTTATTCTTAAGGAGAATATTATAAAATGTTGTAGTTTGCTTGTTTATGGATATATTTGGATCAAACTTGGTAAATTTATTTATATTTTGTACTAAGTTATTAATATTTTATTAAAAAACACCCTGTAGCAGAAAGCCTATGTACTCTTAAAACCTATTGTTAATTAAAACATTTAATTGAAAATCAATTCAGGCAACTGGAAATTCGCTTAGTAGGCAGGTTTGCTGCAGCAGGGGTATTTTTTTTTTTTTCTTTCAACGGCAGTGGCATTTTACGTGAGAGTTACGAGAGATAAATGTTTAGTGGATGTGTCGGGGATTGAACCCGTCCCTCCCGCACAGAAGTCCGAGACGCTAACCACTAGGCTAGCAACACAACCAACCAATATATATAACAACCAATTTCATGTATGTTTTTGTTAGCTCGATAGCTTGAGTAAAAATTATCCGATTTTTATAAAACTAGTTGTTTCCAGTTAATAATCTTAACTATATTTCAATATCATTAAACAAATTTAAATAACCTTTTAACTTATCACTACGAAAAAAAGGAAAAAAAAACTTTTAAGAGCTAAACTTTTAATTACAATGAATAAAAATGTTAAGCTCTATACTGTTTTAATAAAGGTTCTAACAGAGTAGGCTTACAGAATACTGACTGACAGACCAGTTAAAATTTTCATCTTACTTTTAAAATTTTAAAAGAGAAACTCTTCCCATACTATATTTTTTGTTAACACACTAACGTCTTTAGCCAGATGTCTTTGGTTTCGTTGTTCTTTAACCATTATTTTTAGATCATCAAAAGCGCGGCATCTTAAGTGTCTGTCCTTGACTTTTTGTTATGGTCATGGCAGAAGCGACTCGACATGGGAACTGTCGACGTTTGAATTTTAGGGAAACATTGCCTTCTGATGGTTCTAAACTTAATTGGGGCAGTAACACTCGTTTTCCAGCCGAACATTCAGTAATAATTTCAAGATTTAGGACTTAAATCTCATGGAAAAAGTTTTAAAGGTAAAAATTGCTTTTTCTAACAATCAAGAACAATGTTATTAATCTCTTTACCATTAATCTGGTTCCATTAACCAGTCCATTTTGTGGATTTAAATTCCCTAGTAAAATTACAATTACACCTTTTTAAATGCATAATTTGTGAGGGTAAACCTCTTGGTGCTAAAGTGTGAAGAAATTCATCAGGTAATTGTAACTGTCTCCCTCTTCTTGAATCAAAGTGTCCACTGAGTAATAAACTCGACTGTCATTATTTGGTTGCTCAACTATATTATTATTTATTTTGTCACAATGTTCATTTTTTGGTGATAGTATCGTATGATTTTTGTCTTTTTTAAATCATCTTCAGAGAATCCTTCACTGAAGATTTTGTCAATGATATTTTCATTCACAATACATTGTGGTGGAAGACGTATCAATGAATCACCAAGATCATTATGATAGCTCTCATGGCCATTCCCTATTCGTAAAAGATATTCAGCAAATGTTGATTCGCTTGGATTAGCTTTCATGTTTTTAGCAAGGGAATTTTTTTAAACATTGCCCATAAAGGTGATCTATCCATTTCATCTTCTATCTATCTATCTATACTATTATAAAGAAGAGGTGGTGTCTGTGTGTGTGTGTGTTTGTATGAGGTAATCTCAAAAACTACTGAACCGACTGGGCTCAAATTGCACACAAATGAAGCTACAGCTCCGAGGATACATATAGAACTATTCCCACTTCGATATTGTCCTAGGGCTCTGCCCCGTGGGCTTTCAAAAATTTGAGGTGAGAGATTTAAAAGTAAATATTGATTGATGGTATCCATGGTAACAAAGAACAAACCTACAAAGTTTAAAAATGTAAACAAGCAGAACTAACTGTCAAAATGAATTTTGATTTCACAATTCCACACAGCTGGTTCAAACATATTAAATACTACACGAATATTAGAACAGAGAGGGTAAGGATTATAAATTTAAAATAATGATGTCACTAAGCCCGAATGTAAACATCATTTAACATTACTTAAATGGAGCTGTCAAACCATATGTTAATGTAATTTCATTAGTGTATGATTCTTTCAGTTACTTCATTTGTTTATGTTTATGATCTATTATACTGAGTCTGTTCTAATATTTGTGAAATGCTGTAATAATATTTTACAGGGAATAAATCTTTGTAAATAAATTGTTCATGGATATAGGAAATAATTAAGATTCTATAATCAGAAAGTTTTGGATGTACGGATGTATAGATGTATGGATGTATGGATGGATGTTTGTGACAAGTAAACGCGAAAAATACTATACCGACAAGGTTGAAATTTAGTATGATGATAGCTGACATTCCCGATTAACATATAGACATATTATTCTTACCTCAAAAATCCTTTCAGGCTCCGCCCCAGTGGCTCTGGCTCTGGAGTTTCTCATGTAAACCTTATGAGTATTCATATTTAAAGAAACTAAAGAATTTTGTCAGCCGTTTCAACTTTACAAGTTGGTTCTATGATATTAAATAGCATTAAAAAGGTACATAAGACTTACCAACAGGGTGCAGCACTATTATGTTTTTTGCATTTATGACCAGAGCTAATTTTAACCAACTAGCAACAAAAAGTTGTGGTACACAATGAGAACTTAACTTTTTTTCATGGTTTAGGTGCAGTGGTAGAATATTAGGGCTATGGTAGATACTATAGGACACTACATGATACTATATAATACCGTTTAAATTAAAAGACCAAATTTTAATAAACCGTGTCGTCTCCCATAACTAAAAGCATTTATACTTATATGCCAACATTGCCAACCCCGTACGAAGGACGGGTACTCTGCTAGTCAGTCATGATTGTATTTGAAAGTAAATTGATAAATAAACAGAAAAAGTAAATATTAAAATGACATAAGGGAAAGAGGTTATTTTTTTTAAGACAGATGTTTTTTTAAAGGAAATGAATCATATGTTTCATAAACTTAACTAAATTTTCACTTATATTTCAAAATACATGGAAACTTTAAAGTCCAGTGGGGCGAAGCACATTGAACTGAGCGTGACAAACATTATTCCATGACTTCTGCAGATAATTCCCTTTAATTTGACACATCAATCATCAAAATCGGTTGATAAATAAAAGAGTTTTGCTGTGCACAAGAAATTCCTTAGGGAATTAGAATAATAGATGTTGTAATCGTGTAAACCTACATTTACTTGAACAAGTTGGCGAACCACCATGATGGGACATTGGGAACAGGTTTATAGAGGGGTTTTCCCCCAATTTTAGAACCTAAAAACAAACAAAAATGCAATTTCTTTCCAAACCATTATGTAGGCCTAGATCTAAAAAAGATAAAAAAAATAGTAGGGACCCATGTCGAAACTT